CCGTGCAGGATTTTGAGCATAACCCTGCTAGCGTGTGAAATGAGTGCAATTGTACAGTAGTTGGAGCATTCTTTGGCACTGCCCTTCTTTGGGATTGGGATGTAGATTGATCTTTTCCAATCCTATGGCCATTGCTGTGTTTTCCAAACTTGCTGGCATATTGAGTGTATCACCTTAACAGTGTCATCTTTTAAGATTTTAAATAGTTCAACTGGAATGCCATCACCTCCACTGGCCTTGTTGTTAGCCATGCTTTCTAAGACCCACTTGACTTCACTCTCCAGGATGTCTGGCTCAAGGTCAGCAATCACTATCTGGGTTGTCCAGGACATCCAAATCTTTCTGGTAAAATTCCTCTGTGTATTCTTGCCACTTCTTCTTGACGTCTTCTGCTTCTGTGAGGTCCCTACCATTTTTGTCCTTTATCATGTCCCTCTTTGCACAAAATGTTTGAGCCACAATTAGCTCCAGGTCTTGTTTTTGCTGACTGTATAGAGCTTCTCCATTTTGGCTGCAGAGAACATAATCAATCTGATTTTGATATTGCCCATCTGATGATGTGTAGAGTCATCTCTTGTGCTGTTGGAAAAGAGTGTTTGTGATTACCAGCTGGTTCTCTTGACAAAACTGGATTAGCCTTTGCCCTGCTTCGTTTTGAACTCCAAGGCCAAACTTACCTCTTGTTCCTTTTATCTCTTGACTTCCCTATAATGAGAAGAACATCTTTCTTTGGTGTCAGTTCTGGAAGGTGTTGTAAGTCTTCATAGAACTGGTCAATTTCAGCCTTGGTGGTTCGTGCATAAACTTGAATTACTGTGATGTTGAAAGGTCTTCCTTGGATTCGTATTGAAATCATTCTATCATTTTTGAGATTGTATCCCAGTACAGCTTTTCCCGCTCCTTTGTTGACTATGAGGGCTACTCCTTTTCTTCTACAGGATTCTTGTCCACAATAGTAGATATGAGAATCGTCAGAATTAAATTTGCCCATTCCCATCCAGTTTAGTTCACTGTCACCCAGGATGTCAATGTTGATTCTTGCCATCCCCTGTTTACCACATCCAGCATACCAAGGATTCAGAGATCTTATTTTCCAGGTTCCTATGAAGTATTTTTCTTTGCAGCATCAGACTTTCCTTTCACTTCCAGGCACGTCTGCAGCTGAGTGTCCTTTCAACTTTGACCCTACCACTTCATTAGCTCTGGAGCTACTTGTCTTTGTCCTCCGCTCTTCCTCAGTAGCAAGTTGGTTGCCTTCCGACATGAGGGGCTCATCTTCCAGTGTCATTTCTTTTAGCCTTTTGTTTCTGTCCATGTAGTTTTCTTGGCAAAGATCCTGGAGTGGCTTGCCAGTTCCTGCTCCAGGTGGATCACGTTTAGTCTGAACTCTCCACTATGACCTGCCCATCTTGGGTATCCCTACACAGCAGAGTCCATAGCTTCTCTGAATTACTCAAGCCCCTTTCCCACCACAAGGCAGCAATCGTGAAGGGTTGCTCCCCACCTTAATGATAGCCTAATGAATGAATGACTTCCTTGGATGAATACTTAAGGATGGAAGCGCTGCATTTATAGTCCACCGCATCCCAAGGACCCAGAGCAGGTAACAGAACACAAAACATATAAAAGAAAAACAAAACAAAAGCCACCAAACATTTTATCCGATCCTTTGCCACCAAAGCTAGTTTAAACAACAAGAGGTCCGGGAAATACCAGACACTATTTTTAGATAACTAAGATCCCATGCCAACCCAGTTGAAATGAATGGGGCCCACCTACTTAGTGGATGTTGTCTTCCATACCTTGGAATGAAGAACAGGAATGGAGACAGTATGTAGTTAATTGCTGGAGTCAATGCATTCACAGCTGGTTTGAGTGTAGGTTGCATTTTGTCAGATCATGCTTGGAGACTTTTGTGGTCTGGGAAAACAACAGCTTTGGCAAAGCCAGGAAGGGTCAGGAGCCTCATTAACATGAGCAAGAACCCTTTGTGAATTTCTGCTATGCAACTATTGAATCCAACCAATTCCTGGCCAAACAGCTGGGAGGTGTGAAAAGGGCCATCGATTAACACCTCTTCAGTGGTGTTAATGCAGAATATATTGCTTTGTACCAGCAGTCAGGATCATTTTGAATGCAAATAGTTTCCTTTCCCTCCTCTCTGTGGATGGGGGTGGGTGGGGGAGATCTCAGGAAGTGTGTCCTTTTGTGCATCCTAGTTAGCAAAGTTTATTTTGGGGAGCAATGTAAAGTACACATCCAATACAAGAAAGCAAGTGAGGTGGGGGGAGTGAAACATCCAGCTTAAGAAAGGGTGGGAGTTTGTTTAAACTAATACTGTAGCTCAGACAAATATACAGTTTGCCTCAGATTTAAGGCAAGTTTAAGGCAGTTAAACATCACATTGCTTTACAGTCTGTCCCTTATTCCTCTTTTGTAACTGTCATTTGCAGGAAACAACATACTCTCTCACCCAGGTTTGGCTGGATAGCTCAGTGAGTTAGGTACCTGGCTGTAGAGCCAGAGGTTGGCAGCTCAGTTCCCTACTGTGTACCCCAGAAGAGCCAGCTTGTGTAGCCTTGTGAAAGCGGCACAGTCCCAAAGCAACCCCAGAAGAAGAGAATGATGAACTGTTTCTGAGTAATCTCTACCTAGAAAAGCTTGAAAAGGGTCACCCTAAGTCAGACTTGACTTGATAGCACACAATTAATATTATAAAGAGAAGCCAAGGATGAAGTAGTGTGTTCTGGGCCGTCAAGTTGCAACCGACTTATAGCAACCCTAATAGGGTTTTCAAGGTGACTGAGATATTTAAGGAGTGTTTTTACCAATTCTACTCCCCTAATCAGTTTCCATGGCTGAGTGGAGATGCAAACCCTGTTCTCCAGAGTCTTAGTCCATCGCACTATCCACTATATCATACTGGGAATCTTGAAGCAAAGTTTGTAGCCTAAAATTAAGCCTAAGGCCATGGTAGGACAAAAATATCAAAGTGATGTTTCCTTGTTCTAAATCATTCAGGAGCTTTGTGTGGAGCCACCTTAAGCATGATGAGATACTTGTCTCAAAGAGGGAGAAGTAAATCTGGCCCCAAAAGAAGTGCTAAGTAAGGATGATGTGAGTTGCTTTTTGTTGGTCAGGGAATACAATGTGTGGCTTGAACTAAAAGGGATGGTCCTTGTAGAGAAAATTCTCCCTTCCTCATGATATTCTACCCATTCTAAGATCCTGGAAGAGCTTGCAAAACCTGAAGTTCTTTGCCATTTTGTCTTAATTTAAACAATTTGAGAAAATGGGTAGCTGGGTAAGAAAGCACTGTTTGGAAACACATTGACAGGTATAGGACTGTGGCTATAGTGCATATTGTATTTTAGGGAATTAAGTGAATAATGCCTCAATGAGGAGATTAGTAGACTTGTGAATTTGGAGTGGGGAAAACAGAGAAAGACTGCTTCTCACTCAACAGAGCCTCCCAATTCAGACTTCCAGGCCATGCCCTCTACTCCCAGGCCACAACTTTTCATTGGCCTTGCTCTAGGTTATTAGATGTATGTATTTATCTCAGTGACTTCCAGCCTGTGGGTCTTCAGACAATGTAAGATTTCAACTCTCAGAATCTTGAAACTATTGATCATGTTGAAAGAGACTTATGGGATCTGCAGTTGAATACTACCAGGAGACTAGTTCACAGAAGACTATGAACCATTGGTCCTGCTCTGTTACATAGTTGATGGAGGAAAGCTTGTCTGGATGCAAATGTCACGTCTATACGTCTGCTCAGTTTTCATTTTGGCCATGTCTGAACCTCAACCTCTGCAGGTTTTGATCAGTCCCATGCAGATGGGGAAAAAGATTACCTATTTCATTGTTAAGTAATGGAATGAATGGCTATGACTAAGATATCTTTGCTGAGATCTAGTGAAAATATTTGTAAAGTCAGAAAGAGAAATGGGACTTTCTGTCTTCTAGGCTAATGAGAAAGCTTGGATGATGTAAGTTGACCCATGCAGGAGATAAATTTAGATAATACATGCTTCTGAAATATTAAGGACACCTGCTCCATGTAGACACTTTAGTGTTTTGGAGTTCTCATTTACTGCTTCTCACCAATAGCAAAGTATGTGAACTTCAGATTCCATTTGTTCATACCGAGTTTCCCCGAAAATAAGACAGGGTCTTATATTAATTTTTGCTCCAGAAAAGCAGTAGGGCTTATTTTCAGGGGATGTTTTATTGTTTTCATATATAGAAATCTACATTTATTCAAACACAGTCATGTCATCTTCTTCTGGTTGCTGCGCAATGGGGGTGTGTGTGTGTGTGTGTGTGTGTGTGTGTGTGTGTGTGTGTGTGTGTGTGTGTGTGTGTGTGTGTGTGTGTGTGTGTGTGAGAGAGAGAGAGAGAGAGAAACAGGGTAGTTGCCACCATATTTGAAATCTTATATTTTCCTTGAGCCACTTGTTCTGGTTGCTCGCGTGTGGATCTGTCTTGAATAGTGACCTAAACAGCACCTTTGATTGGTGGATGCGAGTTAGCTGTCAGAAACAATTATTCTAGAGATCCTAGGGGGTTCGTTGTGGTGGAGTTGTGTATTAATAACTTAAACTGTATTAACAGGCTGCCAAAATCCGATTGCTTAGTTACCTCCGCGGATAGTAAGCGATTCAAGTTCCAGCACATTCTCATGGAAAAGTAATGACTCCCTACTTGGATTTTCTGGATTTTACCAGGAGCTGAGTAGCCAAGCAAGGATTTGTTTATTGCACACAAGAATGTGCTGGACGTGATGCTATATGATTATAGATGTAACTAAGCAACAAGATTTTGGCTATTGTGTAGTCAGAGTGTGAGACCAGGCCCTGGTCCCTCTTGAGCCATGAAAGTCACCAATGGCCTTGAATCAGTCACGGTCTCTGAGCCTGACCCACCTTACAGGGTTGGTGTGAAACTGGAGAGGAGCGACATATACTGTTGTGAGGAGGGACAGATGGCCCTTTGCCAGAAGTCCGTACTGATCAAATATGGAAGGCTTTAGGAGCCTGTCTCTGCTCTAAAGCATTGACAATAAGACTCTGACTGCAACAGAACAGGTTTTTAAAATATATATAATATTTATTTTAGGAGTAACAGAAGCAGTTTTAACTTGTTTTACATAGATCTTCTCAGAACTCCTGCAAGAGAAAAAAGGAAGAGCTAATGTCTTACCAAGCTGAAGAAAATGTTCCCTCTCTATCAAAATATTTCCACAGGCCAAGCAACTGATTTATTAACTAAGGAGCAACCTATATTCTTACTACAGAGTGTGAATTTGCAGAAACAAATCCTTCCCATCTCAATATTCAGAGTGCTTTATTAGGAGGTAACGTTCAATTTGAGATGTTTTATATTAATAGTTTAATTTTTTTAAATATATATATATATTTTACCTGAGACAGTTTTATAATGTAACAGACCAAAAGCTGGGAAGGCAGGGCCCAGGGGAGGAGATGTTGAGCTGATGCTGTATTATCTTATGATGCAGGCTATATCTTTTTTTTATAACAGCAACGGGAAAACAAGTGTGTCCTTGACCTTCAGAAGAAATCGACTTGCCTAGCTTAACTATTCAAACAAACAACTGTATACTCTTCAATCCCTGGGATGATTTTGATTTACTGTAAATGGCTTGACTTTAATGAACTAAATTGCGCTATTGAAATGCATTTAGTGGATGATACTGCTATTTCCTCCCAAGCATTCTTTTGAGGCTAAAATGTGCTGTAAATGATATGATATGGAACATATGTGGTGTGTTCATAATTTAACTGTTCGAGGGAATGCCTGCTTAGGATGCTGTGAAAAATGAGCCTTTATTTACTTACTGAAATGAAGGCGATTTCTCAGAGAAATCTCTGACTCTCCTTGACCTTGATCAAATTACAGTTTTCACATGGATGAAGTGTTAGAACAATTTACAAAAAACAAATGACATAAAAACAGAGTTTCTATTAGTCTCAAGCATATACAGTGGATCCTGACACTCACCCCACCTGCCATCCCCCCATTTAATGCTGCTTTTCCTAATGGTCATTCATTCTAGTCCATGTCATAGGGGGGCGGGGATTGGGCTCTCGAATTCCATCAGGGCAGTCAACGTGGCCAGAACCATCACTCATTTATTTATTTATTTTACCATATTTATTTATTACATTTGTATTTCCACACTGATAAGTGATAAGACACTACTCTGGGTGGTTGCATCTGGAGTGAGCCAAACATAATATAAAACAAATCAAAATGTAACAACAACAAAAGCCACATATCATCAACACTCAACCATCAAGTAAATCAATGAAAACTGAACGACGGCTAACAGGAAACCTATAGTAAATCATATTAAGAGAGGATAGCTAAGCCATTTTGGCATGTAGGAGTTCATAGCATTGTAATGCTTAAGTTTGAAGTCACATGAAACTGTGGGAAGAGGATGGAAGAGTCTGGATGAACACCTGGGTTTGTGTGTGTAACAGTCATACTGGCTGTGTGCTGAGCCTGCCTATTTAATATATCAGACCAGACCAGACTAAACCAAACAAAACAAAAACAAGAGACAGAAATGTTGCATTACCATAAAGACTGCTGTATTTTAATGTGAGCATTCATGTGATATGCCTGCACAGACTTACACTGCTCCTTCTTTGAAAACTGCTTATTTAGTGTTTCCTTCTGCCCAGGGAAGAAAGGCTGGAGGTGGTATACAGGCTCAGAGGGGCAGCCCATCATTGAAGGAAAGCTTGCAGAAGGACAAAAAAGATGGGGCCAGTCTGGCCTCCTGTGGGAGGGAGTACATACCAACAGTTGGATTTGCATCATTCTAGCAGCAAATTTTTTTCAGCGTCTAAATTTCGGCACTTCCAGTCAAAGACACAGTTACTCCACCAGTGGCTTTGAATGTGGTCAGTTGTCCAGCTTCAGGATGGAATGCTGAGTCTAACTTTTCATGTACAGTGGAATCCTAAATCCTAAATGTTTATCAGGGGTGGGTTAAGACTTGCAGAAGTCCTTTTTTTAAACCAGTCTGAGACCCCCCATGGATGTAGGCAGCTTGTTCTGAAGGGAGTGAGTACCCTCTTAAATACCAGTGCACCCCTCTGCTCATTTCTCCACTATAGCATCACTCCCCAAAGTATTCTTCTATGTAAAACTTGATTTTTAAAATGTTTATATTTTTTTCAGTATGTAAAGGTGCCTTGTAAGCTGCAGATGTAAAACTGCAGTTTAATGAGGTTTATATGAGTAAATCCACTACTGATGGTTACTGAGACACAAATACATCCAACTCATTGGACCCTATTTTTGAGTAGCATGTTTGCAACCTCAGTATATTCTCTACAACTCCTAGATGTCAGTCTGTTTCTCTCCCCGCCCTCCATTGTGGATTCACTTGACTAATGTGGGTTGAGACTTGCAGTTTTTTAAAAAAATACTGGAAGTTGTTTTCCTTCACCATTGGAGGCATATGGTGGCTGGCTTTCAATTAGAAGAGAATGCCTCATATACAGTAGGTGAATGGGAAGTCTCATGATCCAGTTAACCTAAAGGGAATTTTTCCCCCCATGTTTCAATTTTGTAGAGAAATTTGGATTAACAACACGCAGGTTAATAGGCTGTATGACCTGACAAGATATTTGTAAAAAAGACATTAATCATGCCTAATTAACCATTGGTCAACCTGAATGGAACCTGAAAAACAGAAGCAGAACAGAATACTGTATACACTTCAGGACTATACCAGCGAATAAAAATAAAAATCCCTGTTAGTCAGGGGTTACCAAATAGAGAACTTCATGCTTCCAAAACACGTACTGCCACTCTATATGATAAGAAGGGTTTTGCAAAAGTGAGGTTATCTCCTTTTCAAGAAGTGACTTTTGGATTCTTCCTGTACTGCTTACAGTCAGCCAAATCTTGCCCCAGAAATGTCAGTCTCTGCTAGGAGCAGACAGAATAAGCATAATTAGAGGTATGCTGGCAGGATATTTTAACTCTGATGGTGACAATGTTTAAATTTTTAATCAGGCATGTAACATAAAAAGCACATCACGTGAAATGTGCAAAGAAAATGGGCAAATACTGATGCGCTATTTGACACTTTATTTCACCGATGGAAGCGAACATCGATAAACATTATTTATCATAAATGACAGAAGAGAAGGCATGTTACTAATAAAACCGGCACACTGAAAATTGTGATTCTCAGAAATAGCTGTCCTATTAAGTCACAGTTTGGGGAAAATTTCCTTTTTGTATAATATGTATACAGGATTGATTCCAGAGAAGGAATAATACATATATGTGGAATGCAAACACTTGCCATGTACCCTTATACATGTCTGTTGAACAGTAAGCCCCAATAAATTCAATGGGAGTTGCACAGGATTAAATGAATATAGGATTACAATTTATTCTTATGACTTTTAATTTTCCCACCCCCAAATTCTAGGCTTCGAGAAATTAATCACTTTCTGTGATTAGGCCACATTAGGCAAAAAAAAGTATAGTGATATATAGACATGTCGTAAATACTGTTATACGTAAGAATTATTATTATTTATTTGTTACATAGATAGCCTGACTTTCTTTCAATGAGATCAAATTAGTATTCATAGTTCTCCTCCTGCCCACTTTGCCCTCTGAACATCCCTGAGCAGTAGGTGGGTCTGGCTAAGAAAGAGTGAATCACACAAAGCTTTGCAATCTGTTTCAAAGTGCAATGGGGATCTGAATCTGGATTTCTCAAGTCCTGGCCATCTATTTGCTATAAATCTACCCATCATATCACTCTGAATATACTCCCCTCCCCCCAATTTTGAAAGCTAAGCAGGGTCAGGCCTGGTTAGTACGTGGACGATCACGTATTGTTCAGATGCCAATTCAATTGTTGTTCTATAGAATAGGCTGCTTTGGAAGTTCATAAATAAACAGGAATCAACAAATTAACAGAACAAGCCAATGGGTGAAATACTATTGTACTCGGTATAGGATAAAGTTATGCCAGTGGAAGCTTGCAGGGAGTTATGACCAGGCAGTTCACATTGCATAGGTGATTATGCAACTGGTTGTGCAACTAGTTGCACAATTGTGCCTGGGGAACTGATTCCTGGATACGATTTCCATGCTGGTATGAATTTTGTAACTATGCAGCTATAGCTATGCAAAAGAATTTTGGCCCATGAATGACTATTCATATTCTATTTATATCCTAAATTCAGTGTGGTTTGGAAGTAGTTTTTCAGCAGAGACCTTTGGAACAAACATATGTGGGAAACATCTAGTGAAGCGGGCTGTAAATTAACACATGACACTGGAAGAATTGTATTAAGTTAAATTACTTTATGTGGTTACGATTATTAAATCAATAAGAGCATTGTGTTATTTACACTGTAGATTTAATAAAAATCTCCTGAGCAATCTAGCAAGATTAAAGTGGTAACAATGTCTTACAAAAGGAAGCATCTAACATATGAAATAAACAAGAGGAATGGCTCTCAAGACATTAGACTGCAAATCCCATCAGATCTAGCCAAAAGAGTCAATACTGAAGGATTATGGAGAATGCAGTCAAAGAATATCTGGAGAGCTACATGTTCCGAACTCAGAAATAGTCCATAATACGTAAACAAAACAGCCAAATAATCAAATGAACATAAAGAAAATTCTGCATTATCTTGTTTTTATACATAACCAAACCCACAAGGAGATCTGAGAGCTGATTTAGTGGCCTACTTAAGTGAATGTTTAATTCAGTCATGGCCTCACTTGAATGTGCATTTGGTTTAGTGACATGTTTTTGGTTAACTGGACTTCCCCATCTCAGTATTATGGTCTAAAGTCAATTGGTAGATCCAACTAGAGTGGACACATTGAATTAGTGTAATTTACATAAGCATTGACTCACAATGCAACAAGTGACTCTGTGGGTCTACTGTAGTCGGACTGCCATTTGGACTTAGGCCAAATCTTTCCCATATATAATCAGGCAAGCACAGTGAGGGATTAGTGAATTTGTTAAATGAAGTTTTCCAATATATACTCAGAAACATTATTAATTTACTGGGCAGTGATTCTATCACTGCCTTGGATGAAGGCAGTGATAGAATCTAATTTACAGTAATGGCAGACAGCCCTTATTAGAGCCTTGGGAAAAAAATACATTTCAATCCCTCATCATAGTGAAGGAATTCTAAAAATGTAACCTTTTAAAAAAACTCTTAGGAAGTTATAACTAAGCAGACTCAAAAATACAATTGACCAAGATGGTTCTTCTGGGTTTTTAAAGTTTAACACATCCCATCGAACATTTTACATTATGCAACTGAA